GCCGCCGCGCGAGGCGGGGCCATGCAAATGAGCCAACGGTCTCCGCAGCGCCGCGCCGCGCAGGCGCAAGCTGCCGCCGAGCCCTGGTGCGCAGGCGCAGGCGGCCGCCGCCAAGTCCTCTTGCGCAGGCGCGTTGCTCGCTTCTCAGGGCAGACGCTCCCGAGGCGAAAGATTAATTTATTGAGGGCGGAGGAAACGGGGAGCGGCCGGAAAAAGGCGGCAAAGACGCCGCCTCTGCACACCTGTTGGCTCTCTCGGCTTTACCTGCGCTCGCGGTCACTCTTGATCACTCCGGGAGCGGTCCGTGGAGCTGAGGGAGGCCGAGGCGAGTTGGCGCCAGCGCACCTGCGCCCGTACGGTGGCCGGAAGGGACCAGAGGTGGTTCTGCCGGTGACAGTCGCGAGCCCCACCCTTTCCCCACGTGGCTGCGAAAACAGGGTGAGAAGCGGCGGCCGCGGAGTTCCCTCGCGCGGGGAGGGGAGTGGGCGCCGCGGGGTCGGGCTGGTGACTGTGGCGCCGCCCTCGGGGATTTGGTTTTGGGGAATGACTCTTACAGAAGCTGCCAGGGGACAAAATCCCCCATTTCCCTGGCCTCGGCTTTCTTTTCATTCATTTATTCATCCATTCATAACCTATGTACTGAGTGCCTGCTGCGTATCTGGCTGCATCCTGGGCAGGGGGGAAGGTGGTGAACAAAGTTGACTGAGCCCCAGTTCTTGTGGAGGTTAAACTTAATTGGGGAGGAGGCTAGACAGTAAAAGGAAGTAAAATAGATGAACATGTCGCTCCAGGTAGATATAGTATTCAAAAAGGATTATGCGAAAGGAGTGGGGGGGCTGCTTTAACCATATGGTTATTAAGAGCATCCCTTGGGTGGCTGGGAAGGATGAGAAAGAGGTGGGAAAGCTCTGGTGAGAAGGTCTAGGTAAGAGACCTAGGTGGGGTCCACGTAGAAAAAGTGCTGGTAAGTAGACTGGATTTTGTTGAGAGGGTTGGGACGCCAGTGCAGGATTTTGAGCAGTGAGGTCTCTGTGATTTCGAGTTTCTCCCTGCCTGCTGAGTGGAGAATAGAGGTACAGAGTGTGGCAGGGAGGAAGCCACCTATAGGGAGGATTGTGCCTGAACCAGGGTGGGTGTGTCGGGTGGAGGAAGATGAATCATTGGAGTCCCTGCCATGTCAGGGCACCGTTTTCTTGGTGAGTGGAACCTTGGCTTAGAAAGGGAAACCAGCTGTCATTTGGGGTCTTGCTAACTCCCTTTCTTTCCTCCAGCACACCTTCGACCCATCATGGGGACTGGTAATGCTGTTTTCCCCCTTTCCTAGCCTGGACTGTTCCCAGGTGGCTCCCAGATGACCATTCCTAGGCACCGTCTTTCTCATGAACTCCAGATATGTACTTTCATTCTGTCACCTAGCCCTATGCCCACCCTAAGGCCCAGCTTGCCTTAGAGGTAGTCCCAGAGCCGGACATTGATCTCCCGAGCTCAGGACTGGGCAGGGGGAGCCAAGGCCAGAGAGCACATACAGGTTCTAAGTGGTCAGGGAAGGCACCCAGGAGGAGGTGGCCTGGAAGAGCTAGCAGGAACTCTACAGAGAACCCAGGTGGAGGGCAAGTGTTAATGAAGTAAAGTGGCATGATGACCAGGCCTCTTACTGCTTGTGTGATCTCTGACAGGTTCTTCCCCTCTCTGAGCTTCAGATTTCCCATCCGTAAAGTAGGTATAATTGACATTCGCCTTTAGGACTGGGCCTCTGTGACAGGGTGGCCACTCACTGTTGACCCACTCAGATCTGAAGCATGGTCAGGGTGGTGGGAGCATCATTTGGTAGCAGGGTCAGGAACAGAGTCCCTCCGACAGTCCCAGCTGGGAAGTTCCTGCCCCTCGGAACTGGTCAGAAACACCTGCACACACATACCAGCCTGGGTGCCTCACTGAGAAGCTCTTAATTGACACAGAAAATCCTTACTCTTTTCCTTCACCTTTGACCATGGAAATCCTTAGCAACCCCTAAATGGATCCTTGTTGTTCTGGGGCAGAAAGAATTAGGGGAGCTACCTGCAAGGGAGCAAGGTATGGTGTTTGATGCCCTTATGCCTCTCCCCCAAATTGAACTGGTTGAATTACCTCTAAGCAACAAAAGGAACAATAGCTAATGTTTATTGAGCTCTTACTCTGTGCCAAATCCTATTTAAGCGCTTTATAGGGATTAACTGGTTGAATTTTCACGACAGCCCTATGAGGTAGATTCTCTTTGTTTATCCCCATGTCACACAAGAGAGAGTTGACCAACAGGTTAAGTGGAGGGCCTGGGATTCAAGTCCCCCCTGCTGGCCCCAGAGCCTGTCCTCCTCCCCGAAAACATCTGCACACAGATGGAATATTCACATCCTGTGCCACCTCCAGAAACAGAAGCGCAGGCTTGAGTGGCCTGTTTCCCATACAGCCCAAATTTGCTTTCGGATTTTTGCCACATTCCCCTCCTGCTGTCCTAGTACTCCCTGTGCCTTTGTTCCCCTAACATTTTCTGTGATGCACGATTCTATAACAGACCTGGGACCAGGAAAAATAATTGTTTTCAAAGACAGCATTAGGACAATGGAGAAAGTTGGTCATGGAGTGTATATTAGAAAATAGTAATGTATCATTGTTAAACTTCCTGTGTTAAATTTTAGTTGCACATTGGATGTGTGAGAATGTCCTTCAGAGATTCATGCTGACGTCTTTAGGAGGGAAGGATCTGATTCCTGGAGCATACTCTCACATGACGTGTGTGCAGGAACACACACTCTCACAGAGATTAACCTGGCAAAATGTTAACAACTGGTAAAGTTAGAAGGAAATAGGTGTTCTTTGTACTATTCCGAAACTTTATTATAAATTTAGAAAGTGATGTATTTTAATGGAAACGAAAAAGTATTACCGCAATAAACAAAATAGATGTAATAAAAGAAGCAAAATGAAAATAGTTGTTAACCCCTGTTAGGCTCTGGGCCTGAGGCCTGTTTCCCTCTTCGTTAAAAAGAGAGAGTGGTAGGGTTGCCTGGGGGACTCAGTCGGTTAAGCAGCTGACTCTTGATTTCTGCTCAGGTCTTGATCTCAGGATCGTGGGTTCAAGCCCCACGTTGGGCTCCACTCTGGGCATGGAGACTATTTAAAATAAAAATAAATAAATAAAATAAAAATAAATAAAAAGTACACGTTCAGTGCCTCAGTCACACTAGCTATATTTCAACTGCTAAAACCCACGTAGATGGCACAGATAGAGAATATTCCATCATCACAGAAAGTTCTATTGGATGCATGGTCAGATTGGGTTTGAGTTTTGGGGAAGATGATTTCACAGGTGCATTTCACTCTTGTCTGGAGGCAGGTGGTGTTGGCTTTCTATTCTGGTGATGTGAAATCACGCAGTGGACGAGGGTACTGTCCCCTCATTGTCAGGTTCCCCATCAGTTTTGCTCCTTACGGTTTTGCAGCCTGTGGGGATTGTCATCTAAATCTGCCCAGTTATGGATAATCAGTTGGAATTCATCTACAAAACAGAACTTTTCCTCTTCCCCTCTTTATAATCTGGTAATTATGTGAGGGAAGTAGAATGAATGCTGTATTCTTTATTTGCCAGTTTTCAGCAAAATGAGCAGAGTGTGTTTTAGTACTATTATGAACGCATAGATTTTGTTATTTATTGTGTTTTGTTTGGTTTTGTTGTTTTGTTTTAGTGCTCATCTGTCACTTGGGCCCATGGGCGTCTCTTAGGGTTTGCTCCAAGTCCTTTGACTTAACCCTGATGGTTTTTAGAAGCTTCCTTGCTTTCTGGTCTGAGAAGATGCTCCTGGCCCAGCTTCTCTGGCCTGTTTTCTTCTCAGTTGTAGAATCAGCCATTCCTCCAGGAGTCCTCTCTTCTTTGTTGGGAAAATGATACTTAGAGGCCATTGGTGGTATTCGGGGTGTTCACTACTGCTGTGGTGTTATTTCCTCTAGGCATTTTCAGCTGATATCATTAGAAAAATTGGTTCTTGGGGCGCCTGGGTGGCGCAGTCGTTAAGCGTCTGCCTTCGGCTCAGGTCATGATCCCAGGGTCCTGGGATCGAGCCCCGCA